GAGCCTCCACAGTTTTGATCCAATTTGAATTTTGCCGTTGAATGCTTTGATCCGTAGCTGTTGGCATAAATCAGGAAACTTTCATTAGTATAGTTTTCTTCTACTTTCGATTTATTGTAACGAGGTTGATTTTTATCCATGCCCCATTGTTTTGTAGTTAATGTTTGATAGAATACTGGTAATTAATTAATGTTTTGATGTAAATGTCATAAATTGTTGTAGCATACTTTGTATAGTTAAAGATTATTATAAGTACGTTCTTTTAAATTTGGGATTTAATTTGGTAATTAATTTTTTATTGAGTATATTATATATTATTAAAGTGCAACTTTAGATATAATAGGAGGAAATATTAATTAATTGCCAAGTACCATTAAGTATGGATTTACTATCATGGGACATTCTTAAAGAATTAATTAATACTTTCTTAAGTTAAATATAATCACTTTAATAATTATAAGTAATCTCAAATGTAATAATCTCAAAAGTCAATTATTTGATAACGTAGAGTGTTTTAAATAATAATATTTAATTATTTTATTTCAAAAATATTTATATCAAAATATTAAAAGTATAAATAGAATTTTTAATAATGAGTTTTATTATTTAAAAGTTTTATTTCTCTAAAACTCTTCTCTTCAAAAATGTTCTAATTCTCTTTAGAGATTCTCACACTTTACTCATCATTCTAAATATCATAAATAGATTGAGGGATCTTGAGATGAGATCTTCCTTCCTATCCGATTGATTTCAGTTAAAGAATAAGTTGATTTCTGTCTTAGAATAAGTTGATTTCTGTCTTTTTTTCTTCTTGAAATTAGATGTTTGTGCATGTAAGAGGTTTTCTCTATTATTGGAGGTCTAAATCTTCTATAAGTCTCTCTATTGATTAGTGACACTGAATATATGCGCTGATCAAGTTGTTGTGAATTGTAGGAGCAAATAGAGATCCTGGAGTCGTAGAAGAAATTTTACAGTTGTTAGAACTATCATAACGTCATTCAGGTAAGGGAAGCTAGTTTATTTTATTTTGATTGGTAGACAGGTTGTAATTGATGCTTTTATGATGATGTAGTGTTTGACTTGTGAAATTCGATGAATCAAGAATTTAGTATATTGAGTTACTTGTAAAAGTGGTGAATTGAAAATTGATGAATAATGGTGTGTGGTTGTTTTGCTGTTGTGACAATTGTGTTTGGTAAATTTGAGAAGGTAGATTGAGTTATTATGAGTTTATAAATTGTTATAGAACTTGATTGTGATTAGTTAGAAAAAATGTGAGTTTTAGGGTATACAATGGGATTTGACAGGTCAAATTCTAGTTATGGTTTTTGGGGAATTCTATAGCTTTGAGAACTGTTTGGGTCATTTAGGACTTAATTGGCATTTTACTTTGCTAAAATTATGGTTTTCATAGAGAAAGAATTGTTGTGTGAGCTTTTGGGTACTTGACTTGGCCTAAATGCATTGAATTCATATTCAATTGAGCAAATTGTGTCCAAATTTAAGTTATAAATAGGTTCATTAATCAAATACAATGCTAAGGATACCAATTTGGGCATTTGAATGAGTTTAAATTACATTTAGATCAAATTTTTATGTTCTTGTAAAAAATTGACAGAAATAATCAATTATCAGGTTAGATAATAATCGATTATCTCAGTCAACAATTCGTTTTTTCTTCAAGACTCTCTAGGATAATCAATTATCCTACCTAATAATCAATTATCTCAGTCAGAGTTCTTTTCTGGTTTGAAATCTCTAAATAATAATCGATTATTTCAGTTAGAGTTCATTCTTTATTTGAAAGTTCTTTAGAATAATCGATTATCAAGTAAGACAATCGATTATCTCAGAAGAAACAAGGTTTTGAATGCCTAACAACACTTGTTTCTTTTATTTCCTTAGTTATTTTATGAGTGAAGCTTTGTTTAAACTTTGTAAAAGTGCTAGAGACTGCATTATGGAAAGGTTAAACTTTGTCATTAAAATTCTACGTGGTGAAAGAATTTTAGCTTAAACAATTTTTTTAATGATTTTTATATTCCTTATGGGTGGTGTATGATTTGCATAATACACTTGATTAAATCACCTATATGAGTGTCGAGTGGGGCCACTTGCATGAGATCTTAGCATGATCTCTAGAACACTCATGAATATCGGGCACGCACATGGCCTAATAAGCGCAACACAACGATAACAACAAGGATTGTGGAAGTGTATTGTGGATTGAAAACCTCTAACCACACGTCAAATGTTTTGTTAATAAACTGTGTTATACCAACGTACATTATGTTAAGCTTCTTGATTTAATATTAGTTCTTATAGTTTGTTATACCAGTTCTAATACATTACATCCTATGAAACCTAAGATAAAATTTCTTATATTTCTTTTGCAATTTACAATACAATACGTGAAAGATTGTTATAAAATAATAATAATTGCAAAAGAAACGTTAGTTTTTTAAACTTGGTCAACAATTTTTTTTATTAAAGTTCATAAGTGTCAACGGTTAGATTTTATTATTCATTATTATTGACAAAATGTTCTTTAGTGTAAAGTTTAGTTTTTTTTTTTATTGTTGTAGCAACAACTAAGTTATCTCTTCTCTTCTCAAAAGGAAATTTTATTCGTCAACCTATCTTAGTTTTCCTTTCTACTTTCTTAGCTCTTATTTCTGGATTTATTGTACTTTATTTTAGACTTCCTACTATATATATATATATATTATAATATATATATATATAGATATATTAAACAGTATTACATCAATATATATTAAATAAGATTACAAAATCGATCTAACATGTGCTACCAAAACTAATCTAATATATCTAGTTGGAGCTAATATAATGTATCTAGTTTACATTAGTAGAGTATAATATTAACATGCTATTTAATCGTGATTGTGGAAAAAGATAAACAAAAAAGTAATAACTTAAAAAAAGGAAAAAAAAATAAAAAGAATTCATGGCACAAAATTTCAAGCAAAAAATCATGAAAGAAATACAGTTGATGTTTTAATATAATTTTTTTTACATACTGCTTATGCAACCTATGTAAAAAAGAATATACTAATTTCTAAATATAAAAAGTACTCTAATATTTACAAAATTATGTTATTTATTTTCTAGATCATGTTAAACTTATTAAAATTATAAATAAATGTTAATATCATATCACTTATTAGTGTCACTTGAGCTGAAGAGCCTTAGCGGAACTTGATGTCTAATAGAGTCTATTTTTTTCGTTGTAGCTAAGTGTGAAAGAAGGAAATGCGAACTCAGTGAATGTGCGAAACAGAAAACAAAATGCTTTTAAGAAAAAGGTGCGAGAAAACCAGTGTGTTTTATTGACATTAACTTTAATATAATTTATTATTTTCTGATGATAATAACATAGGAGACCCCAGCTTTAATATTACTTTTATTAATTTAGTGATTTTAAAATTAAAATAGGAATTTAACAATTTTCAACATCTTAAAGTGATTTCAAAATTTAATTTGATGAGAAAAAAAAAACTCTTGCTAATAAACATATCCCTCCAGTCCTTTATATCTGTAGTTGTGGGAGACCTCAGCTAATTGAACAGAATTTGTTTGAAATTCTTTTAATTAAGCAGATAATGAGAAAGATTAATTATTTTTGAAATATGAATTATTGATATAAAAAATTTAACTTTATTTTTTATTTAAAGCATTAAAATTTATTATTTATAAATCATATTTTTTATTTATATCACTAATTTTTATATTTTTATTTAATGGAAGATTTTTAATTTCTAAACTAGATAGAACTTGCATTACTAGCCCACGGTATAGTTGTTCCGTTCCCACTGTCTCATATACAATATCAAAATGCTTTACGTTCCTGACCTAACCTTATTTTGTTTTATGTCACCACGAAACATTGAAGAATAAAAGAAACTAGGATATTTTTTCACAAGGAAAAACGTAAAAAGTAATATAATTTTTCTTTTATTTAGTAAAAAAGAATTCAAAATGTAAGTCATTCTAATGATGTTAAAAGGTAAAATTATCATTTAATTTAATTAAATGTGTCTTATTCTCCCGTGTTTTGAAGAGTATTTTTTTATAGTTTTATTTAAGGTGAAATTAAATAGGTACGTTAGGTAGTTTGAAATAGAAGGAAGTTTAAAGTTGTCTAATCAATTTTACTTTGAGGGAATCTTGATTAAAAAACAAGAATTGTAATAATTCAACTAAAAGAAAATTGAGCTTGACCAAAGTCTATTCTTTGTATATGAATAGACTTAATTAACTAAATAAGATAAAATGCATAAAGAAATTAAAACTACAGTTTAGTCTTGTCATTTCAAAACTTTGAAAAGAGAAAAGAAGTTTTGAATAAAAACCAGTTTGAATGAGCTAAGAAGGCATGGATCAAGTTATTGAAATTCAAATATTGAATTAAAAAAGGTTTTGTAAGAGTTGTTTAAAAAATTGTGAAGAGATATTCTTTAAACTCAGAGATAATTTATATTGACATTTTTAAGAGATCTTAAATATATAAATAATAATCTATTCTCATATAAAATTCTTAACATATATTCAAATGTAGAATTCTTATTGTAGAAAGAAAATTAATTTCCAGTGTGATACATCAGTCCGTTCCTTACCATTTAAAAAGTTACTAAAACCTAATTTTTGATATTCTATACTTTTATAATTGATTTTCTAGACTTAGTAAAATTATCACTAATTATTATTTTAACCGTTATAAATTAATAAAGGGACTCAAATATGAAACTCGTATAAATCAAAGACTTAGCTGAATGAAATAATAAAATATTCTCAAATAAATCAAGACCAACAACTTATTAAACCTTAATTCTATCGCACTGTCTTAATTTTTATTTGGTGTGTTGTCCAGCTGTGTTCGTTGTTTTAGCGGGACTTAGAATTTTAATGTAACAAATAAATGAAAATAAAATATTCAAATTTGAATTGAAAAAAAAAACAGAGATAGAGATGTAATAATAAAGAGGCCAAACATTGGAGAAGAAATCGGAGTTTTGTCTCTTTCAATCTCCCACCTCAAGATTTTGAGGCTCCAGAGGAACCGAGACATTCTCCTCTATCTTCGGGGCTTCTTCTTCTCCCATCTCAGCTTCACGTTTCTCATTTCTCACTCCTCATTTCTCAGCATTCCATGGCAGCTTCCACTTCCAATGCCGTTCTTCTCGGAGATGTCTACTTTGACGAAGTCACCGCCAAGCCCTCCGGCGTTCGCTTCCGGGACAGGACGCGCCGCGCCGCTTTGCGAGCTACCGTCAATCTCACAAGATTGCAACCCTTGAACAGTCTTTTGAACTTCGGGTGCTCCACCTCCAATTCAACTTGGAGGAGTTGGAATCCGAGCTCGCTCCTTGTTGGAACCAAGCGCTCCTCCTTTCCTTGCTGCTCCGCCGATACAGCGCCTCATGTTCAACACCTTTCCTCCTCCACATTTTCACTCGACCAGTACGTCTTTTCTCTGTAAACCCTTGTTTTCTTCTCTGAATTTAAGTGTGTCGTTTGCTTTAGAATACTTTTAGGGTGAGACGTGTTGTAGATTCTTCGTCTTTGGTTTTAGTCATTGTTTCAGTACACTTGCATCTTCACTTTAAAATGGAAAAAACAAAACGTGAAAGCTACTCTCTCCGTAGCTTCGAACTTGCGTGAGTCTGGTGTCGTAGAATGGGAATCAAACGCACGCTTAAAAAGATTAGAAGTAGTTTGGTTCCCGTATCATTTTGTCCCTCTCTATGGAGTTCAGCGAGGACCATAATCGTTATTTTTAACGTATGGAGATTAAAAACAACTTTAGACCGAAACCTGTGAGACTTCAAATATATTTTACCCTGTTTTTGGTGTGTGTAATGACGGTAAACATGAATAAATGATGAAAATGAACATCTTGTACTAAAGTGGCTGATGGTTGCACACCTAGGAACTAGAAAGAGAGTTACGTATGATGTTTTTATTTTAGAGGCAACTTTTATTTTAGTAATTTATTGAAGTTATTTTAATTTATGACTTTGTTCAGCGATGGTAAAACATTATTTGCGTTAGTTTATGAGAAGGTATTAGTGGGAGTGACGTTTTCTCTAGACAGAAGTGAAGGAATTTTTTTACCAGAGTTAGGAGCTACAATGGCCTACCTACATATTTAGTATCAAGATTGAAGATGAGGTTTCCTCTTTTAATTTATGTTTCCCACAATTACAAGGTAGACATGTTAAATAATGATTTTTTTTTTCCAGAACAAATTTTGGTCCTGAGAAGTTGAAGTTGTTTTCGGGGTCATGTTACCTACCACATCCGGATAAGGAGGACTATGGTGGAGAGGATGCACATTTTATTTGCGTAGATGAACAAACAATTGGTGTTGCAGATGGTGTAGGTGGCTGGGCAGATGTTGGTGTTAATGCTGGACTGTTTGCTCAAGAACTCATGTCCCATTCTGTTAGAGCAGTTGAAGAGGAACCAAAAGGTTCTGTTGATCCCGCGAGTGTTTTAGAGAAGGCTCACTCATTTACAAAGGCCAAGGGTTCATCAACAGCTTGTATCATTTCCCTTAGTGATACGGTATAGTGTTATTTTTATTTAAATTTGTTACTATTAAAATAGTTTTCTTCCTTTCCTGTTGGAAGCACTGGATGTGTGCAGACTTTTTTAATTGCATTTTTTTGCTATAAATTAAATGTCTGTTTCTTTTTCACTCGGTTGACTTTGTCATCATTACATTAGATCATGCATCTCCCTCCCCAACATCTGCATTTTGTCACATGAATGTTTTTCTTCCTTTTCTGTTGGACATTACTAGAGGTGTCTGGATTTCGTTAGCATTTTTAATGCTATATATTAAATAGTTGTTCTTTTCACGTTGTTGACTTTATCAACATTACATTAACATTAGATTATGCATCTCCGTAGCATCTGTATTTTTACGTCATATGATGTCTAATGTAAAATCTTGTACCATAAAACTAGATTCTTGTCTACGTCCAGGATCGGACTTACTTACTGTTACGTGTTAGTGATGAGTTTAGCATGTATCTACTGTTAGGTTCCTTTGAAATCAATATCTAAATGGCACAGGGGAAATAAAATTAAAGCTTGCTCAATATTTTCCATCTTGTTTTTCATGAATTTGGTGACATTGTTCTCCACTATACTCATTTTAATATACAGTTCATGCATGAACACATACACACATATCTTTAACTCTTGTCTAACCTGCTACTAAGCCTTAAGATATTGATGTTTTAGTGTGCATCATGATTGACTGAAGCCCATCAGTTCACAACCAATAAAATCTGGGTAGCTAGTTTTTTTAATATGAAAGGAAGTGAAAGAGTAAATCAAATGATTGATTTGCTTACTATGTTTGGTTTCTTGGTCCAGGGACTGCATGCCATTAATTTAGGTGACAGTGGGTTCATTGTGATTAGAGATGGATGCACCATTTTCAGGTCCCCTGTTCAACAGCATGACTTCAATTTTACGTATCAACTGGAGAGTGGCAATGGATGTGATCTACCCAGCTCTGGTGAGGTATGTTGTCACTAATTTCACACATGATTTACTTCTAAGGACATTACATTGGCAATATGGAAATTTCCAACATGGGGCTCTTATTTGTTGAGGCTGTACCCTCTTACTCGTTTCTGATAGCATGCATGCCAGGGACTTTTTGTTGAGACAGTATAGTCCAACTCTTACTGTTTCTGACAGGATGGCTCTGGTGCCAAGAAACAGAGTTTGCAGAACTTTCCTCCAATCTCTTGTGATTAATGTGAACAAACTGAAAGATTGGCATTTGAAATTTCTTTCATATCCTAATTATATTTTCTGGTTGATTTCGTAAAACACGAGGTTTGATTTTTAAAGGTAATAATAAAGAGGGTTTTTATTTA